AATAGGAAGTATGCCAAAGCCATTAGCCCTTCCTTGTCATTCAGCCTTACCGCCAGTCTCTCCACTCTTCTGTCCCAAACTATTTGAGGTCACCTATGCCTCACGGTATAGCATTCAAGCAGACTGCTTCGCCCGTTCATTACATGCTGTGGACTCAGGGTGGAAACAAAGGTTGCCGATTCATGCAAGTTACGTGCGTACACAGCTCCATGACGCACCAAAAAACCCTGTAATAACTAAATGTGTTTCCACTTCTATCATAAATGTAAGGCTCTATGCGGAGTTATACTTTGTATAAAATACTAACACTCTCACGATAGGTATCTCTGAAAATAAGTGGTATTAGACCTTTTGTAATTGTGTGAAATACATGTTTCCTTCTCCTAAAGCTATTACCAAATACTTTTCTTTGAGGAATCTATTTGGAGATGTTAAAAAAAAAAGTGTGTGTGTGTGGGGGCGGGGAAGTACACCTGCTACACATTAGTGTGTCAAACCAAGGAAACCAGAGAGTCACAAAATGCAATGTAAATGCTGATAGAAGTTATGACATTTATATATAAGCTTGAATTCTGCCTCTAGAGTATGGCATGCTGCAAACTTCCAGCGGACCCAGAAGAGATCAGAAAGACCAGACAGAGGCTCTGTTCTCTAAAAGGAGAATAACTTGCTGCTTTATAAATGTCTGGTGCACAGGATGGCTGGGAAAGCAAGGAGAAGACAGACAAAAACCAGGAAGACCTGCATCTTCCTTTAGACTTATAGCAGACATTTACTTACAGATAACTGGAATATCACCAATGACACAGATTTCTAATTGTGACCTAGATAACCATGAAGACAGCTGTGTGTCAGTCCTCCTTACCCACTAACTCCTCTTCACAGCTGGGCTAAGACTTCTCAGCATCATCTCCCTAAATAGCATAAGGCATCTGTGGGAATGGGGACAGGACATAGGCTAGTGACAAGGAGCACAGTACTTTTCCAAGGAAGACTAGACGTGAACGCTCACAGTAAGAACACCATCCACAGTTTGGCAAGAGAAGATACACATATTTAAGGGATTTGGTGTAGGATGGGCCATGCTGGTTGTTATTTCCATTTCGCAGTAGCCATTTGAGTACATGGAAGCAGTTGCAAGGCTGCTCTTCTCAGTTCAGACCCAGGATATGGTTCCCCAGGTGAGCTTCAAAACCGCTGCCTGGTGGCTTGCTGATGTACACCATGCTCCAGTTGTTCTCTAATCCCTATGTTGAATACTGGAAAAGTCAGTGCCAAACATAACTTTGACAACTTTTAACCCAATCTGAGGGGTTCCTCAGATTAGGGAGATCACAAGTGTTTATTTTCTTGCTATCCAAGTATTGCAAAACCAGTCAAGCAGGACAAGAAGGCCACAGAGGGATTTCAAACTTTTCTCGTCAATATATTCTCTTTCAAATTCAGAGTATTTCCCTTATAGTAATAGAATTTCGAAGAAAGCATCGTCCAATATCCAATAACATTATCAAACCAGCTTTTTTTTTGGGGGGGGGGAATCAATTAGCATCAAGTATCTCACCTATACATAAAAATATACACAATTATTTTATTCCAGCAAAGAAAAACACCTGCTTTCTGAAAGTCTGTCCTCTCCACTTATTTTTCTCTCTGTCCTGTCCTACTTATTTTTAATATAATTTCAGGCCTAGCTTATGATTTGTAGTGGGGACCAGTCAAACACCAGTGTCACAAAACAAGGTCCCTTTGTGATAGGCACTGTCACAAATATAAGCAGCCGATTTCCAACTAATTTACAAACTTTAAGTATAAAGCATTCTAGGTAAGATGGACAGGGTGAGGAAAGGGTGATATATGATTAATGTAACAGGCAATGGTAACAACTGAATTTTGTTCTGCATGGAAGGAACACATTCAAGGACATTTATTAATGCCTTATGGTCTTTTTTTGTACTATCTTTCTAATTAATAATAAAAGTTAAATTTCCAGAGGACACCATACTCTTAAACATGCACTTTCTATGCCTCTGTTTTAGGTCACCCTGCAGCAAGTAATTCTAAAAATAAAAGCACTTTGGAAATGTGTTCTTTAACAGCTGCTTGCTAGTAGTAGTCACCATAAGGAAACTAAAAATGATTTGATTTGGAGAAGGAAATGTCTACCTCCTTTTCAAAGGAGACCTTTTCCTTTAGTTAGTGTTGGTTCCTGTTAATTAGAAAAATCTGAAAAAACTATTTGAAATGCCCTAATCCCTTAAAAATTACTTTGAAGAAAGGTACTTTGTAGTAACTTTGTATAACAGGGATCAGTTCTGCTTTTCAGTATTAAAAAGAAAAAAAAAACAAAACAACCTTCCATGACAAGTTACTATGCCGACTCAAATGTTAAGACTTACCAAGTATCAAAGTACCACTGAATTAAAGCCCTTTCATTTCTCTTATGCCTTTTTGGTCTCATATTTCTCCCCAACTACTAATTTCTAGCACTCACACCTTCTTTCTTTGTCAGCATGAATTTCCTATTCCTGCTTTCCCCACTCTGAAGAGCAACTCTCAGACAAAATGCCACAAGACAGCAAACTTCTTTCACTGAAAGAAAATTACCCCAACTCCTGCTTCTAATCTGCCACAGTTATTTTCAGCTCTTCTTAAACTTTCCTCTATTTTACCTCTTCCACCTGCAAAGTGTTTAGAGCAGAAATTATGTCTTTAGTAATATCTGGGAAGTAGTATGCAAAATTTTGGAACAATTTACTTGTGGATAATAATACAGCTAAACTCAACCATCAGTTGAAACCCCAGATTGTTTTGCTGCTTGTTGTGGACTTTTATTTCCTCTCATTTGATTAGAAATGCTCAATTAGTGCTAATTAAGTACTTTGAAGCTTGGGCGAAAACTTTTACAGAAGTGAACATTTCTGCTAATACTTCAACAAGAGAAAAATATGACAAAACCACCAGACAGCACACTTAGAAGTAACCTAAAAAAGTGGGGAAAACCCCTGTATTTTTTACCATAATCAAGAACAGGGGTAAAGCTGAAGCCTGAAGCAGTTCATACTTCGCAGTGGACATATCCTTAAGCACCTCTGCTCTGAATTTAGTGTTGCTTTAGAGCCTGAACTTTAAACACCTCTGACTCCATATAGGTGGAAAGCAGCTCTACAGGTGTTGCACATTTACCTCGGTATTATTATTGTCATCTTTATTATACCTCTGTGCCTGGATCCAGCCAGACTATCCTAAATCTAGCACTGTATTAAAAAAGAAATGAGGAGCTGAAATGGGTTTCTATCCTACTTCAGTACTTTTCAATTATTAGATTAGCCCTTTAGTGGATAATCAGGTAAATACCTGAAACCAAAACAGTAAATACAAGGCCATAAACTACAGCAGCCCTGAGGCTACTTTAAATAGCTGTGATCTCTGAGAAGGAACTGCACTATCTCAGCTGCCTACGAATTAGCACAAAGGAGAAAGAATTTCCCTTAATGATATCTTCACTTCACCCGGTTGCTGAATATTAAACTCATTATCCAAGGCTTCAGCTCTCTGCTTCAGACAATCTTAAGACTAAATTTTACAGCTATCATGGACCAAAGCAGACCTTCCTTATTATGAGGTCTCCACAATGTATTTTGTCAGTGATGAGTGGGTTGTCCAACTTGAAAGAAGTAATTTATACTAAATAAAGGTATTATATGCACTTCTAAAGTTCACTTCATTCCAAATTTCTCTTTCCCCTCCTGAACTCTAGTCCCACAATTTTAAGTGAACAAATTCTTAAAGAAATCAATGAAAATATATATTACTAAGCAATCTTTCTTTTGAAATAGGGATAAAGTGTTTGTGATGGAGATAAATTCCTCTTAAAACCTAATTTATATACTTTAAGCATAGATTTGAAGAATCCTGAGCCTAAAAAATTAGTCTACGAATTTCAGTCTATGAATAATGATGCAAACCCAGCAAGGCTGGTTAATCTTTTTACTCTAAGCAGTAATGAAAATAGAAATTAGGTCCATCGCATGCTTTACTAGATCCTATGTTACAGAGTCCTCAAGCGTACCACATTAGATAGAACTTTGGCACAATTCAAATTTTAATTCTATTTAAATAGAATTTTAATGCAAGTTGGGAAGTGAAAGAGCAACCTTATCTAAGCACATTCAACTACTACATGTATACATGTCATACACTTCCTATTATGTGAAGAACAGAAATTCTCCACAAGAAATCCAAGTTTTTCATAATATTCTGTGGCTCATAAATACCTTTTGACGCTTTCAATTTCGGTAATATTTAGCGCTTATGTTTGTAATATTCATTGGTGATAAAAAAAAATCTAATATATTTCTCCATCTCATCTTTTTCCACAGTAACTACATTTTAGCAATGGTTTGATGAAACTAAAGATATTGCTCTTCTTCTTAATCCCTATATTTCCTTACAAATAATCTCAAATATATTTCCATTTCTTTGTAAGTTAACACCAGCTGCCCATATTCATCTTTAACATGAACGGGATATACAGGCATACAACACAGAAAAACAGATTACTTTGTACTACTGCACAACTGCTTAAAAACATATTTACATGTCAGCAATATTACTGGGTGTTTGTTGCTTTTTGTTTTTTTCACAAAAAGGGAAAAATTGATTTAATCTATTGGGAGGACAACCTATGGCTTGTTGGGAACGTCTATATTCTCTATGTTTTACATCTGTTTTTCCTATGTATGGAGAATTTACATTACTATATTCTCCCTTCCCCTTGTTTACATAACTTTGTATCTCACTCATAAAAGAAGTAGCCATTTCTTTCAAGAAAGCTGTTGAAACATTATTATTATAAAGACATTCATCACCTCTTTTCAATTGAAAAAAAAAAAAAAGTCATGTTAATGCTTGATTATGCAGGTTTAGTTTTGGAAAGTACTAGACCAAGTAAACCTCCATAAATATTTAAAAAAAAAAAAGAAGAGAGAACTGTCCTTTGCTGAAGGGCAGGTTTTATACTGCTGTGTCAGTATATTTCTGATCTTAAGTTCAGAAACTGCACTTGGAGTTGTGCTCTCTGCTCCAGAAGTACCAAACAGCATTATAATTTTTTTCCAAATTTGCTTTCTGGGAGCAATTTGGAAGGCAATTTTGTTATTTGATAAGATGTCCATCACTAAATTTGCCTAAACACACATACAGACGCCCCTCCCAAACACACATACACACGCACACACACATTGATTTTACAAAAGTCTCCTTTTCTTTAAGCAAGTAGTCACAACACTGAAAATATTCTCCTATGTGTTCGCTGATTATTCTTAAATGATTTGTCACCACTCTGCCACTCAAAGGAGACGGTTATTTCATTCTTCTGAGAAGCTAACTATGTTCAAAAGCAGCTAGATGATAATGGTGGTGTGATATAAATTCCAATAGAAAAATGCATCGTCCATCCACATAGCCGTCCATCCTGAGAAACTTCCACTGACAAACTCTTGCTATTTTCCATCGGTCATGGGGTTCCCATCAATAAATAGAAGGTCAGTGCAACAATGAGGAGCAAGCAGAATGGAGAAGAGAAGGTCTGATAGGCAGCTGATGGCATGAAAATATCTTCATACTTGTAAATACTGACAACACGCTCTGATACAGGTGGTGAGTCTATATCATGACGAGTTATAGAACCTTTAGTAGGTAAGCGCAGAAAGAAATAACATCAGATGCATTTTTTCTATAACTCTACCAAAGAAACAGGTAGAAAGCCAAGTAATTTTCAAACCTACAGGAGCATGCGATACTACACTGGCAGTGAGTAGGGTCATTTCTCTCCTTTCTGAAATTAAACTTCTGAATAAAAGAAATGAAATTCAAGTAAACAATAAACATCCTTCAAAGGAAATCAGAACATCTAGTTATGAATTATCCTTACCTCCATTTATCTTCCGGGAGTGGGGATAACTAGATAGTGAAGAAAACATGACAGGTAGGACTATTTATTTTGCCTTCCTTTTTACCTGTTTTAAGCCTCATGCTGCCAGAATTTTAGTTCATTTTAAAAAAAAGGGAATCTAGTAAGAATATTCTAATTGAAAGGCATTTATCAATTTTGGCACCCCAGTTCTGCCAGAAGCATGGAAATCAACTTACCCTGAATTGCTGGACCCCAAGCAAACAGATAGTACCAACTCAGGTGCAGATCTACGATGGTTTCCTCTCGTGGAACATATACAGGACGCTTGAATCGACACGTTACACGATTGTTTTCAAAAACCCCTTCTTCATCTCTAGCAGGATTTCTCTGGATTTCTTTAGCCCACTGACCAACATTATAGAAGTGCTGTATTCGGACTCTTCCATTATCATCGTGAACACAAGCCATTTACACGGTCAAAACATATTAGTAGAAAGAAAACAAAAGTGTCACAAAGCATTTCCTCATTTATGTATGTAATTTTAATTATTAAAAATTAATCAAGACCTGGGGCGCTTATTCTTTCTTTCTAAAAGTTACACATACGCAAACATTTGTTTCCCTAACCACTGTCTTCAGTCAGATTGAAAAGCACAAAGTGGACAGTAATATTTACTTACCCTTACTGTCTCTGAATTCTTTTTTGGATCTCTCTCAGAGTTATTTTACCTAACATATATAACATATTTGTAAGACATTATATCACCCTGACATCACAAAATTAACTAATCAGTGGAAGGCTGTTTTCTTTTGCAATTTGTGAAGTTCTTGGAACCTGCTTCATAAAAACTGGATATCTTGAATCCTTGATGTGTGCAAAATCCACTGCATCAAATCATGGACAGAAATACAATAAAATTTGGTAAAATAGAGGAGACAAATCTACTAAATCTGGTCAAATGATAGCATAAATTGCAGTCTGCTTTTCTAATCTCTTCTCATGTTTGCTTAAGGGAGGATCACCTCTTATAGCTCTTAAGAGAAAATGA